ATGTCCAGCAACAGATCGCAGCCCTCAGTGTTGCCCCTGCACCGGACCGGGGACCGGCAACGGGATCACAACCCTCGGTGCTGCTCCCGCGCCTCACTCAGCCAGTGAGCGGGAACCGGTCTGCATGTGGGATCCGAACCCCCGGGCGGGAGCGCCGCCGCGCTTCCCAAGCGGCGCACTATCCAGTGCGCCACCAGGCCGGCCCAAAGATTTTATACATTAATTTAAATGCCCTACATTTCCTTTACCAGCCTAGTAAAGTGTGTCACCCACATTCCTCATAAGGAAGATATAAAAACTACCAAAATTCTAAGTATTATGACCACCTTGGGAAAAGGAAACTCAACGTATTTTGTAAACATGATTTACATAAATTTTTTATACAAAAATATGATATAAAAAATTAAGTGCTATAAAACGTTATAGAAATTAATTTCAAAAACAATCTTTTCATTCATCCTCAAACTGGTAGAAATAACTCAATAATTTTATTTCTCCAAGTATACAGCAAATAGAGAACAGATGTCATTCTAGTTTAAATATAAATTAATAAAATAAATTTTATGGATATAATTGAGCAAACTATGGGAGTAATATTTTGTGTGGATTACTACACAGGATAAAAATGAACAAGACAGTGCCTGACTTCAAAAGGCAGGGTACACAGCTAATTTTTATCATGGACTATCCTATAGTTTAGATTTCTATTGAAGGGAAAAATTAATAGAGACTTACTCAGGTAAAGAAAATTCTTCATTTCACATGTATCCACAGAAATTAGACTTTAAAAAACTGAATCTTGTGGGACTTAGAGCCAAAACCTTTTTGGACACGCGCGCACACACACACAAATGCAACCAAGGGAAAAATTATTTAGCATTCAAAGGTTCAGAGGAAGGAGAGGAAAAGGCAAGACACAAGAAAGAACTGGCATAAAATTAGGCTGTGAAGGATGAACAAGTTAGGCTTTAAAGAAGAGAGGTGGTATCTTAGCTTAGATAGATAAAATAGGATAGATAAAATAGGATAAATAAAGGAACAAGAATGACCTTACATAAAACGTGTTCAAGAAATGCAGTGAAGTCCAAAATCAACTAAATGTAAAGTTCCACACAATGAAGGCTGGAAGGGTTAGCTGGATATCAATTTGAATAATAAACACATGCAGAATAAATACTTTGGTAGGACTAAAGATTTTTTAATAGGGAACCTATGTGGACAGCACTCTGCTTTCAGAAAATTAATGTTCTAACTACGATTTTTGGCTAGCATATTGGGTTTTTTAAAAATAAACATTTGAAAAAGATACTTCAAGATAAATAAAAACTGTCTCATGAGGAAGCTCTCAAATTATATAACAATCTACATTTATGACAACTCTGTGATCCTGTTTAAAAGAAATATAGAAGTATAAACCAGAAACTAAAGAGATTGGTTTACTTACAGGGGGTGAATGGGAAAAGAGTGGAAAGATGGGAGTAATGTGAATAGAACAGTGGGGATAAGGAGCAAAGTGACCATTCTCTAAGCATACATTTTGTACAGTTTTAACTCTTAAAACCAGAGGATACATTTTATATAGTTTTAACTCTTCACACATCCAGATAAGTAAACAAAACCAGGATGTGGGGGATACCTAAATGGAACTGTAGTGGACTGAATTATGTCCCACCAAAACTCACTGAAGCTTGAATTGTGGCCCCTGAGTTTTATGTATCAAAAACTTGGACCCCATTGTGACTGTTAAGAGGGTGGGAAATCCTATTATGATAATTGAAAGGTGGAGCCTTGAAGAGGTGATTGGATTGTAGGACTGTGCAGTAGTGAATGGATTAAAAATGGTGGTCAGGGGTGTGGCTCTGAGGGCTTTAAAAAAAGAGGAGAGTCTGCCTCTCTCTCTCTGATCTCTCTGCTTCCATCATCGTGCAATGTGAGATGCCGCATCACTGTTGCCACCACCAGATGAACATTGGACTTCCCAGCCTCAGAAACTGTAAGCAATAAATTTCATCCTCTTAATTACCTAGTTCCAGGTATTCTGTTATGGCAATACAAAACACACTAATACAGGAATACTCTGTAAGAAATAAACCTGTTTTATAAATGAATAACATAACCACACTGCAGGGGCTGGAATAAAAGAACTAATCTAATTACCTCTGGAAAACAGTATCTTAATGGGATAGTGTAACGCTAAAAACAATAAGTATACAAAAATAATACATTCTAGTTAGCAAATCTGTTTGTCACAGGGGTAAAGATCGGCAATTTTAAAGTAATTTTATGTGTATATTAGGCTTGAACAAGTAAGTATATATATAACAAATAATGAGACCCAGGTTTTTCAATGTCCAAGAAAGAAATTACAAAAAAGAAAGTAGAAAGACTAGAATGAACCCTGTGGTGTTGGACTTGAATCAGAGGTATCAATCAGTATGAGCTCATAGTTTTTAATATATGATATATACAGATAGATACAAAATTAAATATAAACATGTATGCATGTGGTTTAGTACATATAGTATATACAATATATATCTACTAGGCTCTGTTTGCTGACAGTGCCTAGAAGTAATGATACTTTAGGAGCAATGAGCACATCTTGCCCTCAAATACTGATTTCTAAATACCATTCTCTAATTTAAAAAATCAGAGCTTCTTGAAGAAGTGCTGATTCCAGGGCTGAGACAGAGAAAATATAAGACAAGTCTAGAACATCTTGTAGTGACAAAAAAAAAAAAAAAAGAAAATGCTCCAACAAGGGGGCATATTGAAAGGATACAGGAGCCAACCTGAGGCACCTTCACAAGACAGCAAGCTTTGGACTGAGTTTGAAACCTGAGTACTAGTATGCCAGTAGAAACAGCGCATATGAAGGCCAGGAATCATGGAATATCGTAGTATAGAAAGAACTATATGTAATACAAGATCTATGAGCCATAATGTACTGTCAAATGATAGAGAAGGAGGGTGAAAAAGTAGGCATCACAAAAGGCTTCATATGACAAGCTAACAAGTTTGAACTTTATTCAGTAGCAGAAAGAAATCTACTGAAGGATTTTAACCAGGAAAGCAAGATAATCAGGTGTACATTTTTCAAAAGTTTCCTCAATACTCTTTTAAATGTATCAAATTAAATGTGTATTTGCTAAATATATCTGATGTTCTACCACTGACAAAATATAAATCCAGAGAATTTACTAAAAACACAAAATTGGTCAATCAGAAATCTTGGAGCTGGTCTAAGAAACTATTTAAAACGCTTCCTACGGAGGTGAAAAAGAAACACTGTAAATGGAATTCCTAATTATCAGAAACATGAAAAGCCTGTTTGCTGCCTAGGTAGTAGCCTTTTCAGTCCATTTTAAAAATTAAAAATGAGGGCCGGCCCGGTGGCACACTGCTACAGTGCGCCGCTTGGGAGTGCGGTGGCGCTCCCGCCGAGGGTTCGGATCCCACATACAGACCGGTTCCCGCCCACTGGCTGAGCGAGGTGCGGGGGCAACACCGAGGGTTGCGATCCCATTGCCGGTCTGGTCCGGTACGGGCGTGACACTGAGGGTTGCGATCCGTTGCCAGAAACGAAAAAAGACAAAAAGGAAAAAAAAAATTTAAAATGAATAACTGCATTTTCTTTACAGAGAGGCATACTTCTTGCTTGGTAAGTTTCCTGGCTAGTGCAGGTCCTGCTTCTTCCTGTGTTCTATCTAAAAACAGCTCAACTGGTTTAGAAACCCATTTGCATTTGCACTGTTGCAGTGCCCACAGCCACACAAAGCTGCCTACCTGGATTATCCTAGTTATCACCCCAGATGCCAATTATTATTTTTATTAGGGCACTGTTTACAAAGCTGCATAGCTTTTGAATGGTCTACCCTTACTGTCCCCATAAACCTGTTCTTTTTAATGTACAATTTTGCAGAAAAGGTTTTTCAAAAACATGAATAGAAATATCTATAGTTTAAAAAATTGATGTCACTTGTAGAAGGGTTAAGAACTTCAACAATTCACCAATTAGCCTCACTTTAATCAAATGTTATACACTAGAATATTAATGGATAAAATCTTATCTTCAGGTAATTTAAAATACTAACATAAAATGTGCCTTAAACAGTGGTAAAGGTTGCTATGAAATGCACGACAGGCAAAGAATGAACTCAACGTATCTAATTAACGCAAGTAATTTAAAATAGCAGTAGCTATCAGCTGTCAGAAGTGGTTTTTTTTGGTGGCTGGCCTGTAAGGGGATCCAAACCCTTGGCCTTGGTGTTATAATACCACACTCCAACCAACTGGGCTAACTGGCCAGCCCTCAGCTGTCAGTAAGACACATCTAGGTGCAAATATACAATGTGACTCTCACTTACATCCAGATAAGGTTTTTTTGAAAGTAAAAGACAGTAACAGCAACAGCATCCGGAAAACTGTGTAACACAGTTATCAATGACAGAACTTAATGAGATATCATTATTCTTAATCGTGATAGTAACAAATTATTTTAGTGCTTGTAAGGTATAATTTTATAGTTATTTTATTTTTGCTTTTTTCTATGGCATAATGTTTTATAGAGAGCCAAGATAGCTGAAAAATGATTTTAGCAATCTATATTACAGATAAGGGGTCAGCAAACATTTTCTATAAAGGGCCAGACTATAAATATTTTAGGCTTTGTGGCCCACATAGGGTCTCTGTCACATTTTTTTTCTTTTTTTAAAGTAACTCTTTAAAAATATTACTTGAGGAAGGAAGGTTTGGGATAAAACAATCAACATTTTAAAAGTTCACTATCTTAAAAAAAACCTTTAACTATATCTAAATTAAGGATTTCTATTCAAACAAAGGAATAAATAGGCAGCAGACTGGAAGATGATATCAGCGATATCTATGGAATCACTATCTAGATTATATAAGAAATTTTAAAAGAGCCAAAAGATATACACAGTAATTCACAAAAGAGAAATGACTGACAAATATATGAAGTGAGGTTTATCATCATTGGTTATAACATAAATAGAATTTTTAAAAGATACTATACACTTTACACCAATGGAATTGGTAACATTTAGAGAGCTGAATAATAGGAAGAGTTAGTGAGAATATGGGGAGACAAGATCCCTCTTGCACTACTAGTAAGAGGTTATAAACATTTACTATCATTCTAGAGATCAGTCAATACTTTATGTACCCTCTGATACAAGAGTCTCACTTATAGGTTTATACACAGAAATTCTTGTCAGAATACACATGGGACATTTATAAAGATTTTCGGGACAGTATTATTGGTAGCAGAGAGTGGAAGGTGGCATAACAATCCAACTCTAGGGGAATAATAAGGTAAACTGATGGACACTGTGGAATACTAAAGAGCAGTAAGAAGTAATGAACTAACATATTTATCAGTGACAGATATAAAAACAATGCTGAGGGACAAAAGTAAACAAAATGTCATCTATACCAACATACTGTTTATACCAACTAAGAATATACATGTACACTCTACTAATACTCTGCAAAAGCTTATGTTAAAACATATTACATTGGCCTTCTATTAGGGAGAGGAAAGAAAATGAGACAAAAACTGAAAGGAGGACAACATAAAATAAAAACAAGAGGGGGGTCTTCGTGTAGACTATTCATGACAATAAACTGTGAACCAAGGAGTGTAATTAAGTCAATTGTCTGTACCTGAGGTAAAAGAAAATAGTAAACAAAATTAAATAAGCCATATTTTATTTTGCTTTGTAAAGAGACAGTTCAAGATATTTCAACAGCTGATTTTAGTATTTGCTTTACGTGTAAAATTATTCTGTAAATACTGTACCATATTGTGTCCTGTTCCTCATACTCTCACACTCTACACCTTTCTTAACTATCCTTACCCTCCTGAAAAACATGGGATGTGATTTATTTCTCTACACTCACCCTACCCTCAAAAGTTTTTAGTTTAATTAAAATCAGAATACCCTCATGAATGTACAGCATATAAACATACATCAGACATGAAAAACTTTAATATTCTATTAGAAAATTATTTCATACTTCATTTTCATTAAAGGTCATTTAATATGCCAAATACCACAAGAGGGAGCTTTGGGTACAATCAAATACTCTACCTATTAAATATTGATTAATGGTTGCAGAACATAGTTACAGACTCTATGAAGAAAGCCATAAAAGGAAAGGGCTGTTAAGTTTTAGCTGAGTAGACTAAGATTGACAAAAATGGCCTACAAAGTATAGCACAAATTCTGAATAAGTGAGGACATTATGGACATTATGACATTAGAGGAGTGATCAGTCAGGTTAGGATTAACACGGAGAACTTTCTAGATGGGTAAAATCTGAGCTAAATTTGGAAGAAAATGAATTGCTAATGAAGGTAAGGAAGCAATCAAAGTGAATGACGCACAGGTGGTATACGTTAAGATGTAAAGAGAAAAGAAAATTATCTTAATTCGAAACAAATATTTTAACTAAATAACAAGAAATACAGTAGCTATATAAGCATACTGGAAGGTTATTAAAAACCATACAAAAGATGGTACCCAATTTGCTGTCGATATATATTAACATTTACAAACCACCTCCAAGATCCAAAAAGGGACAACAAAGGAAATAAAACATAATCCTTCCACATTAGGAATTACTGCCAAGAATTTTAGTACGAGAGAGAGAGAGAGAGAGAGAGAGAGACATAAAATTTGCAACCAAAATAAATATCATAATTAGCTATGAGGTTAATGACAACAAACCTATTAGTCATAATATGAATTGCTCAGGAGGTAAAGCATCACAATAGATAACATCCCTAAATTTATTCATATGGTTGACGTAGAAGGGGTGGGTAGGAGACGGTAACAAATTTCTTTCCTTATCTCCTTTTTTATAGGAAAGATACTGAAATGACAATGGTGGTAAAAATTTTCCCGTATCTTAATTTAGATTTTGTGTCCTACTTCTTCGCCTACATCATTATACACATTAACCAGTTTTGATTGCTAGCAAATGCTTGTCAGCATTCCATGAGGAAGATAACTAAGTTACCTGAGTTTTTATTTCTCTTGGATACACCAAATCTACCAGTGTATTCTTCAGCTAGATGAATAATGAGTAAAGGAAATATTTAGTTTTACCTTGCTTGAGTTGCTACACAGTTAGCAAAACTAAATTTATCTTTGCTGAAAACTATAAAGCCCTAATTTGAGGTATTTCATTACTTTTGGTTCTCAAAAAACTTGCTTACTTACTTCATCCATCTTCATACATGTGCCAAAATCTGCTAATTTTAGATGTCCATGTTTATCCAAAAGCATGTTGTCAGGCTTCACATCTCTGTGTATTAAACCCATGGAGTGTATTGCATCCAGAGCAAGAACGACTTCAGCTGTATAAAATTTGGCCCATTTTTCAGGCACATCGTAATTACTCATAAGGTTTACAAGGTCTCCACCAGGCATGTATTCCATTACCATGTACAGATACCTATCATCTTGAAAGGCATAAAAGAGCTGCAAAACAAAAGAGAAAGAAAAAAATTTTTAAAACAAAACCAAAAAATCCTAAAACCATAAACAGAACAAAACCAAAAAAACTATCGTTACTATTGAAAAAGACAGACTATTTTATAACCAAAACAGAGTTAAAATTTATAAAACCTTTTATTTTAGACTTGGACATGTTGAATGAAAACAGTATCAGACAAAATTTTTATATGGGTACCTTCTTCAAGCTTACTATCAAAATATGCATAAATGAATATTTTCCCTCTTGGAGAATACACTACAGGAAACTATTTAAATAGAAACACTTAAAATTTGAGAGACAGAATAGGAATGAGGAACACAAAAGGTGAAATAATGACAGACAGAATTCATTCCAGTTTTTAAAAAATAGCTTTCTGAAACCTAACAAATTACTGCACAGAACTCACATAAAAGAGAGCTGAGGAGGTAGGAGGAGTTTAGAAAAATCTAAAAGATTCCAGATTCATCAAATACAAGAATGAGTAATTAGTAGCAATATTTGGAACAGGGCTAACTCCTCTCCCATTCCCCATCATTTTGCTTGTGATAAGCAGCAAGTGACACTGTTACCTGCACTCACTATAGTAGCAATGGCATTGGAACCAGAGAAATAAGACACCAACCTAGGTTGCTGTTCCCCCCTCCCCAAGACAGAGAAACCACAAACTCAGAAGAAAAGGTTATCTCCATATCCCACCAAACAATACATCCCATCCCTCCCAGAAGCAAATAATGCAAACAGAAAGGTTTCCACAAACAGGCAAAACATAAAACAAAACTAAGAATCAACATTTGAGGAAAACCAACGTCATAAAATAGAAGCAAGGGGCCGGCCCGGTGGCGCACTGCTATAGTGCGCCGCTTGGGAAGCACGGCGGCGCTCCCGCCGAGGGTTC